TGTGGTTTATTAAATCATTATAATTCAATTTTTGTCTAGATGGTAGCATCTGGCTGACTATGCATAGGCTTGGAAATTAAGAAGGTCAAGCCTGATTAGTCCTTTAGAGATTACCAAGGAATATCAGGATGGCAGGCTAGATAGAGAAGTCAAAAAAAAAAAAAAATTCTGGAAGAAGTCAATGGCAAAACCACATCTGTAATGTCAGCAAGGAAACATGATGCTGTCAGTGAAAGTCAACCTTTGTTTATGGCATCTTTTTCTTTTAAAATTCATTTTGATGGCAGGGAAGTTGTGCTTTGATCGCCAGTGAAAAAAAGAAAAAAAAACTTGGTGAAAGTTTCATAAGTGGGGCAAGGGGTCCTTGCACAATTTAATAACATGCTGAGCACAGGAAGATGTGCATGTCCTCTCTTTTGCTGTGTAATCATCTCCAGAACAGATGATTTCTTTGAGCTTTCATGTTTCAGCTGAAGCCCAGGACAAGATGGTATCAAGTCCACAGAGATTTTACAGATCAAGAAATATGAACCAAAGAGGCTACAGAATGTTGAGGAAATTAAAAGAAAATTGTCGCAATGGTCTTGATCATTATCAATAAAATAAGCTGAAAAACCATTTTTTTGAGAATGAGATATAAAAATTGAAATCTCCATCACTAGGGGAAAAAGCATAGGAGATGTTAGAAGAGAGATATTACCAGAGCCTTAATTCTTCTCACTCCTAGTATACATTCCAAGCTGATAATATTGCTTGTACATAAGTTGTTATTACAATATGTGGGTAAATAATTGATAGAGTGGATAGACAATGGCTAAAATGATGATGGTTGATGATGATAATAATAATGATGAATTGCTACAGTAAACTTGGGTTTCTGGCTCTTACAAAACCATGGCGTTGAGAAGCATAACTCGCAACAATGATAATTGCGACAACTAAGTCTTTGGACTTCTTCGGATATTACATTTTTTTGTGCCAAGACTTCAAATCTACAGGTGAAAAGGATGAAAACAAGTGTGGATAATCTTGTATGGGACAACACATGTGCATGTTCTCCTTTAGATAGTAAGAGTTGAGTGTGGTTTCCTTTTGCCTGCAATCTTGGTGGCCAACATGAATTTTTCACTGTTGGAAAAAAACAACAACACAAAAACAAAACAATTTTCCATTCCATGCATTAGTCAAGGAACAAGATCATTCTGAGATCTCATACTTAGGTGTAGGGTTCAGATCAATTTCACTAAGAACTAGTGTGGTGCAGGGATGGTTTATGGTTTAATGTTGGGAAGCAACACTTCAATTTTTAGGTGATGAAGCTTCATGATAAAAGAACATCATGTGATAATTGTCCATATAAAAGAAGGCTGGATAAGCACCAACTATAGGGCCTCTGTCCACAAGCAGAAATACTTTGTGCAACATTGTGTTGAGCTCTGACCCAGACTCCCTGTGTTGGGCTCTGGCACAGAAAGGGCAGAATTTGGTTTCTTGAGACAAAATTGTTGAATCCTGGCTCAGATTATGCTCTGCCTCCATGGAGAAAGGAAAAGCACAATGGTTTTCTGCTCCAGCTGTGCAGTTTCCAAATGAAAAGGAAATCTGCCCACAAAGTTCTCTTTGTGTCAAAGTCAGCATAATGCAAAGGCAGTGGGTAAGGGTACCAAACATTGAAATCACAGGTTGCTAGATTTACGGCCTCTGTCATATTAGCCAGTCCAATCTGATTAGCAGCCTCTCTCTTTTGCATATCTCCTATCATTTCAAGTTAGCATTCATGAGCAGTTATATTACTGGGAAGTGACTTTCGTAGCATACTGTATTAGCTAAGACAAATGCTAATGCAGATCGATGGAGAAGGGCTAATATGAGCGGCTGTCAAGATGCATTAGTGCTCTTAATGTCATTACCAGCTCAAGTTTGATTTGGCATGAGTGATGAGCAACTTGTTATGTTTCACTGTCCCTTCTGTCTAATAAGGCAAATAGTTGTGAAGGGTTAATCCCACCCAGTTGCCACTGGGGTTCTCTGCTTTGAAAAGAAAAAAAGAAAGAAAATAAACTAATTTTGAAAGGAAGCAATTCGCAGAGAGAGGAATGTGCCCATTTCTAGAACTTGCCCACAGTGAAGAAATATGCACAGTTGAGAGAAAATATGCGGAACGTGCTTCGCTAGATATATCCCAGAAAGAACCCTCTGAAGTGGATAATTGAACCATCATCTATAACTTCTATTTTACCTGGTCTTCAAATTTCTTTAAATATCTTTTTCTTTATACATGTACTGTAACTATTTCAAATGTTTATCTTAGACCAGTGGTGTCAAACTTGTGGGCCATGGGCTGGATGCGTCACGCTCTGGCCACGCCCACGCCTGGTTTAGCGAAGGGGGGAAAAGCCACGATACATCACATGGTGACGCCATGACTTTGACACCCCTGTCTTAGACTAATACCAATACAAGCATTTAAAATTCTAATGAATTCATGGGGCAAGACAAATATTGTGAAAATGAACATGGCTTCCATATATGCAATTAAGGAATTCCTATTCTTATATCTTTAAGCTACTTTTAAGCAAGTTGATAAATTAAGAACATTTCTACAGAAACCGCAGATCTTCAGATTTTTTTAAAAAATCCAAATTATAATTTTCCTATGATAATGAAGGTTTTTTTAAAAAATCAGCACCTGGCATATATTTTGACTCCTATTTGTGGTGGCACAATGGTTAGAATGCAGAATTGCATGCAAACTCTGCCCACTGCCAGGTTGTTCGATTCCTGACTAGCTCAAGGTTGACTCAGCCTTCCATCCTTTGGAAGTCGGTAAAATGAGGACCCAGATTGTTAGAGGCAATATGCTGACTCTATAAACCTCTTAGAGAGTGCTGTAAAGCACCATGAAGTGGTATATAAGTCTAAGTGCTATTGTTATTGCTATGATATATGAAATCCAAGTGATTGAATGCAAAAAGAAATGTTTGGGTACTATTTGAGAGTTGATAACTGGATAGACACTTGATTCCTTTTCTCTGTGATTTCAGTTGTATTTCCAATGTTGAAGGTTGAAAGTCATTTCTAAGAGATGCTCAGGCTGAAATATAATTTTGACAATTGCTCTGTTAAACTGACAATCCTGGTTTAAAATTTGCAGTTTGTTTTTAAAGTATCATTTTTATACATTAAAGAAAATATTTTTCAATAGCATAAATATAACTTCTAAACAAATATTACTGTATTGATAAAGCCCAGTTACCTTTTTTATTGCTCTATACTTACAACTTCCCCGAATGTAACAATTCAGTCCCAAAGGAAAAATTAAACAGCAAAACATATTCTCAGTATCCATTTGAAAGATAAATTGTTTGGGGGGAAATTCAGTGTTTTCTTCAAATAAATATAATGCCATCTTTATTGTTTGGATCAGGCAGAAGTTTGTGTTCTCTTATAATTTATTCTGAAGGGTTTTTTTGCCTGTTCTTGAAATGAAAACACAAACAATGAAGACCCTGGTGAGTGAACTATTTATGATATAATCTTATCTTAATTAATGTGAAATTGTGTCTCAGTGCTGGTTCCTAACTGCATGGAGAAAATGTGTACGATTTCCATCTTCATACACATTTGCTAGGCATGAATGGAGACTGAGGCTAAATGATAAAAGCTCTCACAGTATCTGCCCACTCAGTCTGGTTGTGTTTTTAAAAAGCCTCAGATAATAACTTTATAATAAATTAGTATTATCTTTCAATGAATTTGTAAAGTGAAAGTTGGTAAGGAGGAGAAAGGGCCATTCTCTGCTAAAACTTGGATACGTTTCTTGTCTTTTTGTTTTCTAAAAACCTGGGCAGAAGTTCAGCCTTACAATGAGCAATTTGCATAAGATTACGGTTTTATTCCCTTTTTAAAATTTTGTTTCTTGACTATCCAGAATAGCTACGATCACAATGTTAGGGCAGATATTACTGGCTGTGCGGTATCTACACTTTATCTAGATCTTGCATAACAAACACAAGCTGCGTTTTGTTCCTTTTTAAACTGACTGACTAGTTCGGTCTTCAGTTCAGCTTAGACACTCTTTATCTCATTCTTGGGTTGCAACATCTGGACATCATCCTGGACACAATATGAAAAAGTGGAGGTTTTTGATTGATTCAACATGCAATCCAAATGACGTTCAGCAAAAGTACACATAATGCACCTTGCTTCCTTGGTGTAGATGGAAATTATAGTTCATTATGTCTAGACGTCATCCAGTTGAAAAATTTGGGGTTACTGCATTTGCTCAGACCCATTTTCTGTAACTTTTGTTTGTCCTTCTCCCTTCCAGTCCCTAATTCTCATAGCTTTGTTTCTTTTGTTGCCTGAATCTTGAGGGTTTTTTTTTTTTTTTGGTGGTGTGTGTGTGTGTGTAAATGATTATGTTTTACTTCTCTTACTATGTTGAATCTATGAGGAAATTGCTACGTAATATTTTGAGTTCAGAAAACTTCTTTATTTGAGACCTCAAGTTAACCTTCCTTTTTATGCTTGACTTCCTTTTGCATTTGTCTGCAAAAATCTTCATGTAATGAGGCATTCTGTGACCTGACTGATGTATGCTTAGATAAAAGAGGACAACTGGGAATGATCAAATGTTTTAACAAAATAGAATAATTGAACTGGGAGGTCTACTAGTCTTCATTTTTGTATAAGAGAGTGTCAAGAGGCTTCAGGACACATTGCTATTAATTTGGAAGAAAGCACAGTCTGGTTTGATTTATCCCTAAAGTTCCATTCATGAACATTGAAATTATTCCAGATCTGAAATGCAGCACTTGCTGCTCAGCTTATTTTGCAAATTACTGCTGTTGTCATATCAATTGAGACTACATCTCTATTGCAGCTGAGTTAACAGCAACATTTGGATTGGTAATATGAAAACTGTTGCAAGAATAATCTTTACCAGGGAGCGTTTGCTTCTACAAAACCTTGCAAGATGGTGGAAGAAGAAGCAGAGGTAACACATACAAAAACATGTTTATTAGTTGCTCGTATATCTTGCATCTTAATGTAATGCTCAAACTAGGAATACAACTTGGTAGAAGTACGCACATACATATTGCATGTAGGGTAGTTTTGGGATTTCAATTGTGTCTCCAAAATATTCTTTTCAATTCAGCCCTGCACGAGGTCGTTGATGTCGGAGCCCTGGCCTCTTGACAGGTTGCAGCTCTTCATATCTGGTGTAACGTGTTGTGAAGTTGCAACTTTTGAATACAGTGGTCGTATTTCTTCCCTCCATTTTTGATTGGCTGGAAACATTATGTAGATTCTCAGAGGTATTTCTCTTCATCAGTCTTTCTTGCATGAATATGGTTTAAATAATATATATATCTATACAGATTATATAAATATATAGCTATTATTTATATTATATATATTTATTTATATATATATGCATATATGTATATTACTGTGGTTTGGCTTCATGAAGTCAACCATAAATTTGTGCTTATTTTATTTAATGAGACCAAATATATGGCATTATTAAGAATATAGCCAGTACTTGGAAGTCTTGCTAATTATAAATCAGTTTATATTTTTCCTTGTTGCATGTGTCCAAGCATCTTTTGCAAGTAATAAAACTTTTCACTTTTACAGCAATTTTTAATTCTGGCCTTTGTAAAAGAACAACAGGATTTTTTTTAAAAAAAAACCAAACAATTTTTCTTTTTTAAAAAATAAAATAAAATAGAGGATTGCACTCTTCCTTGTACATAGTTTGAAGAGTAACCAGACATTCATATAGTTTTATTTACATTCTAACTGAAGGTCAACAATGTTAGATATATTGTACTATAACTGTACACAGGCCAAGTTATTTTTGGTCATGTTGAAACACGCTACTGGTAAGATATTTACAAATGCATTAATCGGCCTCCTTAGTTTGACATTAGTAGATACAGAATAAATTGTTGAAAGTCCATTTATTAATGATCATCGACAGTCCCTTATTGTTACCAGTTTGTAGTTCACCACAGGATGGCTGTCTTTGTGGTGTAATTGTAAAAATGGGAGGGAATTATTCATGACATCTAAATATCATTTATCCTGCAAGATGTGATGGGGCGATAGAAAAGAATCCACTTGCTGTCACTATGTCCCCTTTGAGAAAGTGAAATTAAAAAATGACTCATCTTTATCCTTCCATTTCTTATTTTTATATTATCATTTCCCAAAACACTTGTTGAAATGATGAATGCATCAAATATGTAAGCAAATACATTTGAGAGAAGGATTTTCAGTATGATTTCATATTTTGTGTTTCATATATATACATAAAGCAATCTCATTTTGTGGGGAAGTCGGTGACTACATTATTTTGCTGCCTATGGGGGAAAAATAGATCAATTTATAACAATTAACAAGATTCTTTCTACTGTACACTCAATAATGGGAAATTATATGTTCAATCAATCATGCTTTCCTAATTATCCCAGCAAAATTAATTATGTGGTTGATCAATTGTGTAGTTAGGGTGTTGGTTTTTTTCCAAATGCAAGGCCACTTTTGGGGAGAGATGGGGGAAGGTCACTTGCTACATGGTTAGGAAGACTATTCACCTGGGTTAAGTCAATAGAAAAACCACACCACCAGGGGTGCCATTCAGCAGGTTCTGACAGGTTCTGGAGAACCGGTAGCAGAAATTTTGAGTAATTCGTAGAACTAACAAATACTACCTCTGGCTGGCCCCAGAGTGGGGAGGGAATGGGGATTTTGCAATATCCTTCCCCTGGAGTGGGATGGGAATGGAGGTTTTGCAGTATCCTTCCCTTGCCATGCCCACCAAGCCACACCATGCCCACCAAGCCATGCCCACAGAACCGGTACTAAAAAAATTGAATTCCACCACTGCACACCACAGCAGCTACTTACATTTCATCTCTACACTCATTCATACAAATAGATAACAATATAGCAAACCAACTAGGCAGTGAAGCTTCCCAATACTATTGCATCACTTTTATGAAATATCAAATAAGATTTATTGTAACTAAGCCAGTAAAATTGCAATAGCTTGGGTGGAACTGTGTCAGGTTATACGAGCCTTAATTCTGACTGCAAATATAAATGGATATCAGAAAGTCAGGTAATCTAGGAGCTTCTTCATAAGGTATTTTTGAGAACATTTTTCTCCTTTCCAAAAACTGCAGATCAAGAGCAGTAAATCTCTTCACAATTGATTCCCCTCAATAGAGCGTTGCCAGATTTTGAGCGGCAGGGACTGAGAATTTCCTCAAATTCTTTTTAATGGCAGATCCTAAGCAATCATGTCCCCCACACACATTGCTGTAGAAAGCAAACCGGTTGGTAGGTTGAGCAAAAGGAGCTCTTTGCCCAAAGGACTACCAGCCAAGGTATGTGCTGAGAAGCTGTAAAGACAAAATATTTGTTCCTTGGCTGAGCTTCTGGCTCTGATCTACCATTGTAGAAAGGATGTTAGAATGGGTCCAGAATCCCTAAGAGAAAGAAGGTTGGTAAAGTTGTCTAATCTGGTACTTTTTCTTTCAGTCCTAAATCCACCAATGACGATAAGCAAATTAAAATGAAAAGAGTGTCAAAATCCTCTGGGATGGATTTGAGCAGGATTGGAAACAGACTTGTCCCTGGGAAAGCTATCTTCTGCTTACTGTTTTGTGACCATTTCTCTTAAGGTTTGGTGCCTACAAGAATAGTCAAGTTTGCTACCCATATAAAACTGAATACCCAGATAGGTCATGGTCTGTCTTTTACAGGATGTGTAGACTTTACACAGCCATCTATTTCAGTCAAATACTTATATCCAGCAAACCTAATGACCCTTCCAGCTCTATATTATGGTTCAGGTGCCATTTGAACAATGGACATTTTGTTTCTTAGAGATTAATTCTCTAATGATATTGTGCCATTTAAAGGCCCCATATCATGGACACGTTGCCCAGTTTAGTCTTTCCACAAAATAACTCCCCACCAAACTCTGAATGTGAAAATTTTATGGCAGTCAAGCCATAAAAAAATCATATGTGCATGACAGTGACATAAAATGATAGTATGTAAGTGGAGACTGATCATTTGGGTAAGATGGCCACGGTATGCTTTTTCCCATATATGACAAAGTCTAGAATTATCTGTGTAGGCAGATCTTTTAATATGCCTGTTAGAAGTTGATTATAAGTGCTTTGGTTAAACTGGGTGCCAGAAACGATGATTTCACATATCATCGCGAGTCGAGACATATGAATGCAATCATCAGAAACTACAAAGAAGACAACTAATAATTGCAATAGAATAGATATTGATGACTGGTTCTTCAGATATTACAAAAAGTGGTGAACCGTGAGTGAGTCACTTTTCCATTTTCTCTTTTTCTTGTGTTTCAATATGAAACAGATGTTTGTACACAATCCTGTGAGTAAGAAGCATAATACAACTCCTCACAGGAGAATTGCATTCATTCAACTGAACGAACAGACATTACACTGGAAGAATAAAATGAGGCCCTTGATTGCTGTCTCTTGAACCTCTCCATGGAGATATGGATCTAACAATGATATTATCAGTAGGATTTTACAAATAATTATACTTGCCACCATTTTTGTTTCTTTGAAAAGCTTTGGTCTGATTTCACCAAATCAAGTTCCTTTCAAAGTTACAAGAACATTGTCGCTTCCCTTAATTCACTAGCACACTGCATAGAGTACAAGAGATTCCTGTCTTCTAATTTACAATATATCTTACTTAGTTACCTTGTCTCAAGATGATTTGATAGTCCCTTTATCCTAAGAGGGTCTCTTGGGATCAAAAGAACAACTTGGTAAGGAATTTCCCATAGATTAATATCTGATGAGAAATAGCATGTTAACATTCCTGACAGCAATCTCATCAGAGGGATTAAAGTACTCTGAAATTCTGTCTTGTACAATACCAGCCCTATTGTTAAGCAGGAGATGATTGCAGCAGATGGCAGGAAGTGGAGCAAATTGTTGAACTGAAGTATATGTCATCTGGTATATCTTACAAACCCTAAATTACTTGCTATCTAAAACTGAAACAAAAGTTGTAGTTAGCTTCTGCTATCTCATCTGGTTCTCTACCTCAGCATCAAAATGACTTGGGCCAGTTCTGACATTTAAAAAAATGGCATTGTCTGGGATAGGTAGGAATAGGCTAGAATAGATATCAATTGTATTTTCTTCTCCAGAACGGCAACATATAAATGAAACTATTCCACGCTGCTTGGTAAGAAGTAGGTACACATTGAAAGATGTCTGATGTCTTATCCATATAGTTTTACTTGTTACATATAATAATAAAAACCTTCACAGAGCAGTGATTCCATGTAAAACCAATATCACCTTGATGACACTATTAAATTCTGAAAGTACACATTTTATAGCTATAGGTGATAATGTTACACTGGCAGACCCAACCAGAAGTTGTACTGAACTTACTGTAAGATATGGTTAGCATGGAAAATACAATCACCAGTTAAATGCAAGTCAATAAATCTTAATAAATATTGAGTGCTTGAAGGAGAAATCATCCAGTATATTACTGTTTCGCTTCCCCTATTATGCCCAATAAAATCAACTATTATGTTTTATTTTCTCTAACCTGCTCTACATGCCTCCAGTTTCATTACAATGCAAATTAGATTTATTTTTAAGCACCGGTTAGCCAATTTATAACTGAGGTGGAATGAAACAAGTAGGATTACGTTTGAGCATTCTTCCTTATCCCCTCCACACAGAGAAGTGACATGTTTAAAGACTTGTCAATCTTTGGGACTTGGAAATCTTCTCTGGCATGCCATTTTCTATGGCTGCATTTAGAAGATGACATAAATTTTGCTTCGGAGGATCAAAAACCAGCTGCATGTAAGCCAAATATGCATCTTCGTCCCTTTCATCCTTTTTCACATTGAGAAAACATTCCTGTTTTATCAAAGGAGAGCTTGTTGTGGCTTCTGAAGCACCAATTTTTTGGTTCAAGTGATTCTACACAAGATGTAATCTGAATAAAGTATGTACTGAGAAATTTTTATGTTTATGAATTGAATTCAGTCCAATCTTTTCTTGTAATATACAGACTATAACCTCTTTTTTTTTTTTTAAAAAAAATCTTGCTTTAGGAAGTGTTCTTATATGAAGATATATTGAGAAGACTTCTGCAAATCTGGATTACATGCAATTGATTCAGTAGGAATATAACAACTATGGCATGGTTTAATTATTTTCAGCATGTTTGGACATGAACATGAATTGCTGGTGAGTTTATGGTCACTTATCATTCTGACTCATGAGAAATTATGAAGAGACACAGGGAGAAACCAAGTAAACGATTCTAAAACAGCTTCTGAGTCAGAAGTTGTTTTAGTCAGAGATGTTATATAAGGCTCCACATGCCTTTTAACTCAAACAGAATGAGAAACACTATTTCTCAATGTGATCTGAATGAAAAACAAATGGGTAAAACATTGGAACAAAGTCTACTGTCACGTTAGCCATCTGGTCAAAGGATGTATATATCTGTGAATGTCTAAATATCTGCGTCCTTAGCTCTTTTTGGAAACTGTCCAATTGGGTATCAAAAAGAAATAAGGCTAAGGTGCGCAACTTGTAGCGCCAAGTCCCCTTTTTGCCCTATGAACCCCTCCAATCATGTCTGTTGAAAACTATAAATTTCCACCATTTTGAAATGGGAAACAGATGAAAACTGCAATGTAAATCTCAAAGTAAGCACATCACAGTTAAACAACACCCTGAAAATTATGCCAAATTCATCATTATGTGACATGGTTACCTCCCCTCCTTCTTTTCATCAACCCCAAATAAGTACAAACCATAACTGAAAGTGGTTGCCAACCTGTCCTAAATCATTTATGTTATTGGGTCTTGGAAAGCAGACTTATGAGAAGCAGTATATGAAACAGTAACATTAGCTAGGATATTAATAGTGACAATTAACAAAGATGGATCTTCTAACCAACATGATGATGATAGATTCAGTGGGCGGTTTCTTCACAATGTTTTCCTTCTTTTCCTCATTCAAAATCCACTGAAAAGCAAATTTCTCACTTAGTTGTATCTATTTACCTTGTCACTTGTCTAGGAATATGGCAAGGTGTGAGAAAAAAAAGTTAGTGAAACTAAGGTGCAAGAAAAAGGGGTTAGTGAAACTGAGGTGTTTGGATGAGAAGGAATTGTGGTTGTAAAAGTGAACACAGCAGATACATACTGAACTGCTTAACAGAAGCTCTGATCTTTTAAGTACGTGGCTACTTGTAGGTGAAAGGAAGCAAACATTTTCACCAAGATTTTTTTTTTTTTGGAGTCATCCAGCATGTTCAATATACAGAAGTGTCATGCATGATATTACCATTTATCTGTAAGCCTTAGAAGATTCAGATAAACAACAGGCCTATGGAAAACAACCTACATTTCCTCTGATGAAGAGATATGTGTTATGGAGGCCATAATATTCTAAAGTTCCCCTTAACCTTCCTTCTCCTGCAGTGATTGAAGAGCTCCAAAGCTTTGGAACAGTTGTGGGATTCTACATGAATCCTTTACTTTGGTTTAGAAGCAAGGTTGTTTCCCAAAGGATTTCCAGAGAGTGCCTGCACTTGAATCTTCTTGAAAGTAAAATATCTCTCAAAGCTATGCAGAGCTCTAAGAATTATTTAAGCCTTCCTCCTCATCACTCAATAGATAAAGAAATTTTATGTAATAGCTTTATAACTCCAACTAGTACTGTAATGGCCTTTGAGACAACAATTGGTCTGGATGACTGAGAATTTCCATAGGCGTTCCAGTTTAAGATATATGGAAAAAGATTTAACTGGAATAAAGAAGGAAAATATCCCAAAAGCTTTGGGAAGCTTTTCTTTTAAAATAATATCATCAACCTTGACTATTTGGGGTAGATTCTGGCTAGGATATCTCTTGGTAATGAAGATTGATCGTATTAGGACTTACATTTCTTTCTCAGCAACATGATGCTTGGGATACCTGATTTCATGAATTTGTATTAATGACATAATAGCAAACATGTCTGCAAGATAGTGATGAACATATAGGGCTGGCAGATTATGATTTAAAGATTCTGTAGAGTTGAACTCTTAACTGGCCAATTGTGTTTTTTCTGAAGTTATTTATGATTGTCTGCTCAATGTCTACTGAAAATAGCGGAGGCTGATGGACATACAGCAAAGCCAAGAATGTTAGATATTGTTTTGGTGCATCTAAGAGTATTCTGCAAGAATTGGCCACTTTGGTGTTCATATCCTGCAATTAATTCCCAACAAAACACTCTCATTTGGTCATCTGATCTTGATTGATCACATATTTTCCCTTGTTTGGCTTTATAAAGAGGACAGTATCTTAAAATGAAATATTTCCTGACATGTCTTATATTAAGAATTCAAGATATATTATAGGTTTCAGCCCTGGGTATGGAGTATGACTCATCACATTATGTATTTGAAGAAACAGAATCTTTGATAAACAAACAATGGAAAGGAAATACAGCTGCTAACTGAACCATGAACCTACACAATCACATTCGTTGTTAATGTCTATTCAATGTACCATTGTTGCTGCAAATATAACCTGCCCATTTTATTCTTTGGAAGAGTCACTCCATTTTCAAAAGTCATCCTCAGATGACTAAATGCTGTACCATTTCCATTTTTTTCTTCTGTTTGACTGAAAAAATCTGTTCCAAGGAGAAAGGTCCAAATAGCACAAGGTACCTTTGAAATGATCATGATGGCAATCAATCAATCACTCAGTCAGTCAGTCAGTCAGTCAGTCAATCAGTCAAAATTCTAGCATTTTTACCTCATGATGGCTGGATTCGCATCTCAAGTTAAGCCAAGACTTTAGTAGCCATGGTTTGGTTGCTAAACCACTGCCTGGGTTGATGCTTCATACTATATCATAAATCATCATTTATAAACCACAATGGCCAATTTGTACAACACACTAAATCCAAATCCCAGACAAACCACAGTATGGCTCAGCATGATTTTAATCCTAGCCATAACACTGAACCATCATAACAGTTCATGCTCAACAAAAATGGAGGGAATCAGGCTGGGGAAAGTCGATGTACTATATTTTAGAAGCTTGTCTGAAAAAAAACAACATTCTTATTATGAGGTAAAGTATATTTTTCCCCAAAGTATAATAAAGCCACAAAAGAGAGATAACTACGGGTATCCTCAGCTTACAACAATTCAGTGACAATTGAAGGTTACAATGGCACTGGAAAAAGTGATTTATGGCCATTTTTCACACTTATGACCATTGCAGCATCCCCATGGTCACGTGATAAAAATTCAAATGCTTGACAACTGACCCATATTTATGACAGTTGCAGTGTCCCAGGGTCATTTGATCACCTTTTGTCACCTTCTTACAAGCAAAGTCAATGGGGGGGAAGCCAGATTCATTTAACAACCGTGTTACTAACTTAACAACTGCAGTGCTTCACTTAACAACTGTGGCAAGAAAAGTCGTAAAATAGGGCAAAATTCACTTAACAAATGTTTTGCTTAGCAACAAAAAATTTGGGCTCAATTGTTGTAAGTTGAGGACTACCTGTTTTAATAGCAAACTCCTTAAACACAAGCCTTTCCCTTTTTTGCCTTTCCATAACATTATATTAATAAATAATTCAGAAACAAACTGACTGGAAATTATTCCATATTTGCTGTTCCAGTTTTTCTTATAGCTTCCATGAAGTATGTTAGATGTCTCTCCCCCACCCCTCCCTTTTCTCTCAGTTTCAAATGAACACACAAACGGGAAAATGGCTCTGGAATATTTGATTATACCTACTCAGTTCTGCTTCCTGAAATGCTTTTGTGTAGTTTTTTTTTTTTTTCCTTTAGCAAAGCAAACCCCCCTCAAAAGCTTTACTCAGACGAATTTCCCAGGGACAGGTTGCGCCCACAGATGAACAATGAATTCAAAAGCCCTTCTGCCATGAGAGAGGAAGGAACATTGTCTCAGGGTCTTATACTCAATTATAACCTTCCCTCTAAATGACTCGCAGATCCAAAAGTCATCATCTCTGAATTGCAATTATTGGAGAGGGAGCACAAAAATCTCATCTTCTTGTCATGTTCTCCAGCTTCTTGATTTCACACTAGAGCATAAAGTGCTATGGCATTGTTTTATAAAATCTGGAGCTCTCTTCCCCCAATTTGGAGTACACACACACACCCCGCCCCTGCCCATTATTCTGGTTTTACCTCGTGGCTCCTATGTTCTTGTAGTTACACATAAGGAGATGCTTAAAGGTTTTTTTGAATGTAGCATTGCAGAGAGCATAGCAAGCAGGGTTGATAGTGCTATTGATGTAGCATAACCAGTAACCAATTGTCCATACTGTGTTCGGAATACAAGAGGAACAGAAGCTGTTGATGAGTACCATGACATTGTATGGTGTCCAAGTAATGATGAAGGCCAGCAGAATAGCCAAAATAGTCCTGGTCACTTTTTTCTCCCTGGAAGGAGGGGCCTTCTTTTTGGCAGGCTGTTTTGTCATCTTGACAATCTTACGCGCTACAATGTTCTGCTTCTCCTCTCCGTTTTGTCCATCGGTGGAGACAATCTCCACGGCAGTATTAGTAGAGCTGCCACCGTAATCTCCTTTGGGGGACTTGGTGAGTATCCGAATGCACGTCAATTTAGAACTCTCCACTTTTGCATTAACTTGGGAGACAGAAGCTCTGGGGTTCTCTGTGATTGCTTCATCCTCTTTGACATTGGAAGCGCCTGCACTGACAGAGGTGGAGTCATTTGAGCTCTCTTTTTCTTCTGCTGGAACACAATTCTCCATGACTGGCTCCCCAGTGGCTTTACCGTTCAGGATTTTATTGTGTTCAGTCCCATCTTCATTGGTTGGGAGGTTGTTGTTATTTGGTTTCCCTATTTTACCTTGAACTAAACTCGGTGATGCTGGCTCCTGGTTTTGGCCTCCCTCTTTTTTATCTTTTTTAACCCTGCTCCTACTAGCACGGGATATTTGCCAGTATAGAATGGTCATGATCACCACAGGCAGATAGAAAGCTGCAATGGCTGTGCCAAAGGTGACAGCTGCATTGGATAGGAACTGGATGTAGCATTCCTTATCGGGTACCGTCCTTTCTCCTACAATAAACTGCCAAAAGAGAATTGCAGGTGCCCATAAGATAAAAGAAAGAACCCAGGCTGCTGCAATCATCATCCCTGCCGTCTTAGTGGTCCTCCTGACTGGATAGGTCAGGGGTTTGGTCACACAAAAATACCTGTCAAAACTGATTATGAGAAGATTCATGACAGAAGCATTGCTGACCACATAGTCAAGGGCCAACCACAAGTCACAAACCACAGGTCCTAATGGCCAAGAGCCTGTCACAGTGTAAAGTGTGTACAGATTCATGGAAAAGACACCAATGATCAAATCAGCACAGGCCAAGCTGAAAAGAAAGTAATTGTTGACAGTTTGTAGGTGCCTGTTGACTTTTATGGACACCATAACCAGGATGTTCCCAATGATGGTTACCAGGCTGAGGGACCCAGCCACCAGGACAATGAAGACAATCTCAACTGTTTTATAAGGACTTGGCATGGTCATTCTGTCCTCCAAATAACTTATGTTCGTGGAGTTATTCATTTCTGCATCTGTTGACTGAATGCCTGTTTAAGCCTGCAGAGGAAAGAAAACAAAGAAAACAAAGATATGAGAAATTGTCTTTTCCTGCTTTTGGCAAATGAAGAAAAGAACTAGACCTCACTGGCACAGCACATGTTCTGTATGCAGAAGGTCCTGGTAACTCTGGGCTTAGTCTGGAAAAAAGCTCCTTTCTGAAAATTTGAAATGATGATTCCGGTCATTGTTGATACAATTCAACTAGATCGAATGGTTGACTTGATTGAATCAGTCAACTGAATGGACTGATGGAATCAAGGGCACTTTCCTACATTGCTTAAAATGGGATGAAAAGAGTGAAAATATGTATATACATAGAGAGAGAAGAAAAAGAGATATCAGACAGAACAAGATTAAAAATAGAAAACATGCATATATAATTCATGAATTATGAAGTAGTTGGAGTTCAACATTTTGATCTGGCACTTTCCTTGCAGAAACATGACAATTAGGTAATAGCAATAGCAAAAGCATTTAGACTTATATACCGCTTCATTGTGCTTTACAGCCCTCTCTAAGAGGTTTGCAGAGTCAGCATTTTGCTCCCAACAATCTAGGTCCTCATTTTACCGACCTCGAAGGATGGAAGGTGAGTCAACCTTGAGCCTGGTGAGATTCGATCTGCCAAACTGCTGGCAGCTGGTGATTAGCAAAAGTAGCCTGTAGTGCTGCACTCTAGCCACTGCCCCACCGCGGCTCATTGAATTGGCTAATGCCAATTGAAGCAACACTTGCACAGCTTGCCAGTTTCTGAGTACATCAAGGAAGGGTCCTTTGCAACATCCCTGATCAATGTTTCAAAGGAAATTATCTGAATACTTGTGTGTGCAAAGTAGCCATCAATTGTCAAGACCAGGTTTTGGGCACCTTTAAGGCAATGCAGCTGCCCTCAACTGGTTGTCTTGTATAATGCAAATACTTTTCAAACAGAGCACTGTGGACACTCTACACTACTTAGAAGTAGAGGGCCCCTTCTCTGCTCAGTGTTCTTTTAATCACCTTGAACAAATGCTCATCAAAAGAAAATACCCATTTAAAGTTCTGCCCCACTGCACTTAGCAATAGCAATAGCAGTTAGCCTTATATACCACTCCGTAGTGCTTTACAGCACTCTCTGAAGACAATCTTCAGAGCCAAGGTGGCGCAGTGGTTAGGGTGCAGTACTGCAGCTACTTCAGCTGACTGCTAGTTCAGCAGATCAGCGGATCAAATCTCACCGGCTCAAGGTTGACTCAGCCTTCCATCCTTCTGAGGTGGGTAAAATGAGGACCCAGATTGTTGGGGGCAATATGCTATTTAGTATAGTGTCGATTGTTGTAAGCTGCCCAGAGTCCTCAGAGAGTGGGTGGCATAGAAATATGACTAATAAAATAAAATAAAATAAATAAATCTGGGTCCTAATCTTACCAACCACGGAAGGATGGAGTCTACCTTGAACCAGTCAGGTTCAAACTGCTGGCTGTGGGCAAGGTTAGCCTGCAATACTGCATTTAACCACTGCATCACCATGGCTCCTAAGCAGAAATAGCACCGAGTATTTCTGATTATTCTTCTACAAAATACAGCAGCCTGCAGGCTAGACAAGAAAGTGCCTGAAAAATAACAAACTAAAGCAAACTCTTATCTGACTTGTACAGTGATTATGTTGTATTCTCTTTTCTTGTTTGTTTTTTTTTGACAATTTTGTAAAAATTAACCCTAAACAAGGTGTGCCATTCTAAAAGAGCTAAGCATAATAGTGTAGCTCCCCCCGCAACAGTGTTTTGAAGAAATAAACAAGGATATCTAATTCAAATGAAGGGAAGATTCAGCTTTGTTATGATATAATTTTTTAAAACTTGGGTAGTTTTAAAACAAAGCTTGACTGTAGGTGCCAATGTATCCAAAGACTTCCCAAGGCAGCTGTCATGCTTCCCATGCCACGTAAGTGTTCGTGTATGCATTTTAATTAAAAGTAACTAAATGCGGAGCTGCTGTGCCATAAACAAAAGCACCTGAATCTTTACAAATATGCTTCGGGAATCCATGGAACCGACTCGAAAGATGAAAAATGGCAGCTGGCTGCAAACAGATGTTTAATTTGAAAATGAATCCAGAAAAGAAGCAAAGATTGGTCCCAGATAGGATGGAGTATTTTTTGTTTGTTTGTTAAGTAGGGTAGGTATTTTTTTCCATAACACTTGTTTATTAAAGTTTTTCACTGGCAGCTCTTTTGTAGGAGAAATATCTGCGTTGTACACCCCAAATACCAAATGGAAAAGATTATCTATTACTGACCCATGGCACATCTGATTACTAGTATATAAAGTAATAGCTGTATGGAGTGAAAGTTCTTCAAACCCTTTCCCAACTCCAGCTAAGACCCATCTAGTGATGTACACCCAGGCATGCCCTCCATCACTGAAGGATAATGGCTCCCCAACGCATTATGAATGTTAGTGTAATTAATTTCTTTCAAATCAAAATGGCTTGGATTGCAATATGTTGTAGTTCCTTGGAACATCTGTTTCTGTGATCAGTGTTCGGAGATGCAGCCCCTCTAAAAATTATTCCAAGAAAAAAAAAACCTGAAACACCAATACTAGTTAGATATAGTGGTCCCAAGAGAGCAGGCACTTTTGCCCTTTAATTGCATTTCATCTTTTGTTCCATTTCTTTGAACCAATTCAAGTTGAACAAACTAGCTTTGCTAGATGAAGAATCGGAACAGCCTAGCCTTCTTTTATTTAGAAGCTGTATTTCATAGGCTGGATACATTTATGATGATTTCAAGAGACAGATTTTTGTACTGTTCCAAACCTTCTTATGGATTCTCATATGGATTCTCAAGGCTATTCCTAGAAGGGAGATGCAGCAATGATAAAACAGAAGCCTGCTGACTTCGGCATTTTGTTGCAGCTGTCAATGTAGAAACCCTCTTCTGCACAGAGAATTATAAGCAATTAAAATTTCTAACTGATGATCACGTGTTGGCTGAATGCCTGAACACATGTTAGTTTTCCCTTACTTTAAAATCAGATTGCCTTACCCATCCACCTATTCCTGTCCCCACAAAATTCTTGATTCAAGCATATCAAAAGGGAAGACCCACCAACACCTTTTATCAGAATCCAGGCAAGTGACTTTTTGGGGGGGGGGCAGGGGTTTCTTATAATCCAATGGTAGACACAGTGTTTCACAATACGAATGATTCATATTCACAAAGGAGCAGGAGAAAAGAATAATCTGTAATCTTCAGGAAAATCCTATTTACAGATTGTAAACAGTAAAGACTAGCAGCAGAATCTATCATCCATCCGTTCATCCATCCATCTATCTATCTATCTATCTATCTATCTATCTATCTATCTATCTATCTATCTTCTATCTATCTATCTATCTATCTATCTATCTATCTATCTATCTATCTATCATCTATCTATCTATCTATCTATCTATCTATCTATCTATCTATCATCTACCACATCTATCTACCATATCTTCTTCTTCTTCTTCTTCTTCTTCTTCTTCTTCTTCTTCTTCTTCTTCTTCTTCTCTCCCTCTCTCCCTCCCCCCTCTCTCCCTATAATATTCTACACCATGTGTAATATAGTCCCATAAAATGAATGGCTCTCAACCTCCCAGGAATAATTGAATATGATCCTGGGTCATTACAGTAGCCCATGTAGACTAAAAGTAGTTTTATAGTCACCAAAGCTACGTGTAAAAGAAAATGAGACACACAATCACCATAAATGTCTCTAGCTGAATAGTAATCCAAATTTAACCAAGATATTCTATCAGGCTCCTGATATGAAATTAACGTGAACCAGATACAAAGACCCACTTGCCAAATAACAGGTCTCTTAATGAAAAGCCTCCTTTGAAAACTATTGCAATGACATAAATATGAATTGCCTGAGATGGTTGATCTTTGATGCTTCTCACATACTGTAAGTCATTATCACTCCTCAGTTGATACGGATTGCACTCGCTGAGCAAAAATCAGATTTTGACCGAATTATCCAAATTCACTCCTTATGTGAGAAAAGCTATACACAATATGGTAGAAGTGTGGAGCACTTAACTTCTCTGATAACTTCATGCCTCCTAATTCTGGAACCCAACAGGAAACTTGTGGTTAAAATGAAAGCAATGGGCAAAGTTTGTGAATGTTGTTGAGGGAGCTCTGCTTTTCCTCTCACAAGTTTAGTACTTCCTAAAATATTATTTTCAATTTCACAACAACTCCCAACATCTCCAGCAAGCAAGAAAACCTAACTAACTACACAAGATTAATGATCTAGATTCTAGGCACTCACTAAATGAGGTGAGAAACTATTTCAAAACTAAGTCCTGTCTAGCATATAAGTATAACTTTAATGTCATTGTACATGTATACACAGTATACCCATACAACGAAATTCACTTAACACCCAAAGACCAGGTCCAAGACACATAACAATCCCCAAACACCCCCCACCCACCACAAATTCTCCATCCCTGAACCACCCAAACATGCACACAACAGACCAAGTAATGCTGTCCAACAGCTCACTGATGGTGGCCCTTTAGTTCATTGTTCAGTGCAATTATAGTTCTGGGATAAAAACTATTCAGAAAATGTGTGGTCTGAGTTCTAATTGTTCTGTATCTTCTGCCAGAAAGCAACAGTCCAAAAAGATTGTAAGCAGGATGGGAAGAGTCTCTGAGAATGTTATGCAACTTCCTTAAACAGAGAGATGTGAAGATGTCATCCAGGGCTGGTAGCTGGAGCCTGATGATATTCTGGGCATATATATATAGAGTGAGCATATATAGCATATATAGCATATAGAACAGAATCAGGAATAAAATGGTTTGGCCCTTTTTATGGCTCCATCCTTTATTTTTCATATAAATCTACAGTCCTCATGGAGTTTGAAAATATCAGATATTCTTTGATATATGTATATATTTTTTTCTTTAATTCACAGTGGGACTCATATTCCTTATAAATATAACAGGAATAACATTTT